CATTCTATCCAATATTAGACCTTTAAAATTTAAAAAGAAAGTTGTTCAAAAAAGAATCTTTATTCTAATAGAATGGAATATGCTCTGGGACGGAAGGATTCGAACCTCCGAATAACGGGACCAAAACCCGTTGCCTTACCACTTGGCCACGCCCCATTTTCATTTCTATTCGGCGCTAATAAAGAATAATGTTGGTATTGGTTGGTCGTCAATTCAAGTCCAAATATCTAAGAATAGATTAGATTGTTGCTAGGATTTTGACACGTATAGATATAGAATTAAATTCAATTTATTGATCATTACATATAATTCAATTAAGATATTGTATGAAAGTATAATTTCTTCTATTCTCCTTTGAGAATGGGAGGATTTTTGATTGGGTGAATTCAAAGAAAAAGAAGGATTTTTTGTCTACCTTACTTTCTTCGTTTTTACTTATATCAAAAACTCAATCAAAATGCAATTATCTCCAAGAACAAAATGTCTGTTATGCTTAATATCTTTAGTTTGATCTGTATCTGTATTAATTCTGCCCTTTATTCGAGTAGTTTTTTCTTCGCCAAATTGCCCGAGGCCTATGCTTTTTTGAATCCAATTGTAGATGTTATGCCAGTCATACCTGTGCTTTTTTTTCTCTTAGCCTTTGTTTGGCAAGCTGCCGTAAGTTTTCGATGAGATCTTTAATATTATCCTAGAAAATTCATGATTTTTTCCAGAAATTCTAACAATTGATAAGATCAGATAAGTCTTACAATATGAACTCTCAATTCAAACATTGAAACTCTTGGATAGATGCGATAAATCTGAATCACCCCATTTCCCCATTCTGACTCTTTTTCTTTTCCAATGAAAGACACTAACCCTAATAAGGTCCTCCAGAATATCTAATTCTGGGTATGAAAGAAAATTTTAGTAATGAAAGACTCTTATGACAAATGAATTTAAATTTCTGAAAATTATTTTCTATTTCTAGAAAGCACTTCATTTCTTGGTGTCAAAAGAGAATATGTGGTATAAAAATAGACGATCTATTCTCTTTTTTTTTTTTCCAAAAAATTTGGAGATTGTGTAATGCTTACTCTCAAACTTTTCGTTTACACAGTAGTTATTTTCTTTGTTTTTCTCTTCATCTTCGGTTTCCTATCTAATGATCCAGGACGTAATCCTGGACGTGAAGAATAAAAAAAAAAAAGGATTTTCGCTTTCCTTGCTTGATTTTCAAATTTTTTTAGGGTTTTATTTATTTCACACGTTTAACTACGAAAAAGGAAAAGGGATTTGAACAATTTGAAAGATAAATCAAATATCAAGTCATCAAGGGAAACGGAAAGAGAGGGATTCGAACCCTCGGTACAAATAACTCGTACAACGGATTAGCAATCCGCCGCTTTAGTCCACTCAGCCACCTCTCCCAATAAAAAAAAGATAATTACTATGTTACATTACACGTAAAGTAAGGATTCAAAAAAGTCTTTCTTTCTCTCTCTTTATCTTTATTATATAGATATGGTACAATTTTTTATCAGCAATTCCATTTAGATAAAAGAAGGGCTGGAAAGATCCAATATAAATATAAAGAAAAATCAAAATAAAGAAGACTTCTTTTCTTTGATTTTGTTCGAAAAGGCCTTTTTTATCCCATGGCCGGGCTAGGTCAGTATCTAGCCGGGCCTTTTTTTGTTCCAACGAATCATAGTATCTGATTGAAAAAAAAATACTTGCTATTAAAGCAACAAGAAAGTGTCTTTTCTTATTATTCCTTTCTTCCTTTTTTATTTGCTTTTTTTTAACTACTTTACTGGAAACTGGAATAAAAAAAAGAAACTATGAATTCTTACACAATGCATTTTTTGTTACGATTTCGGTGTTTTTTGTTATGATTTCGAGCTGTGTCTATCAAAATTCCTCCAGTAAAAGAAAAGAGAAAACTTCTTTTTTAGTTATTTAAATGAATCCCCCAGTATGGACTTCAGCGCCGTATTAGTTGCCACTCATTTCTAATTAGTTGGAATCTTTTCCTTAATCTAAGTGACATTGGAAATATTTACTGATTGGTGCTGAATTTTCTTTTTGAATAGCAGATGGGAGAACTTAAGACATTGGTGGAAGAGGGTAAAATAAAATACATTGGTTTATCAGAAGCAAGCCCAAACACAATAAGGAGGGCACATGTTGTTCATCCTATTACTACTCTACAAATGGAGTATTCCCGTTGGACTCGAGACATTGAGGAAGAAATAATCCCGCTTTGCAGGTGCTTCATACTGCTTCTAAAATTCTGCAAGAATCTTCATGTTGACGGTTTTTTTTTTTTTTTTCTCAAGTACAAAGGAGGTTCATCAAGAGTACATCAATAAGAAAGGCCAAGAATTTTCCTCTTGAATTTACTTATATTTTATTCAAAAAATTGGAGGCTCATGTTCAAATGTTGCTCTTTGTTAAAATAAAAAATTCATCCACAAAAAGATGTTTGAAAGGGCGGCTTTACTTGATAGTAAGGCTTTCCGTTAGTGCCCTTGGCTGCCCAAGTTCGAGTTACGGAAACCACCTCTCCAGAAGTAGGGGTAAGGCTGTGGACATCTTGCCCTCCTAAGACCTCGCTTTAGCCTCATGTATTGGGTTGCCATTTTTTATTCACAGAAATATGTTTATCAGGAGAAGACACCCTACTGTCTGTTTTAACTTCAATTTCCTATAATAATTTATTTTATTTTTTTATAGTGATTTCTTCTTTATTGGAATTTGCATCTTAAACTTCTAGCCATTTACTGTTTTCAGTTACACTTCCAATTTGTTTTCATATTTCCTTTCATCATATTTTTTTTTCTAAACCATGTTTTGGTTATCAGGGAACTTCGAATTGCGATAGTTCCATATTCCCTACTGCTCATGGGTTTTTTGCTGGCAAGGCAGTTGTGGAGAGTGTCCCTACAGATAGCTTCTTGGTGATGAACTGGATCTATATCTTTTATTTTACTTCAATTTAATTCATGTTAGATAAAAATCATCTCTGTGAACTAATGCTCATGTTTTGGCTGAAAATTTATTTTAGAAAATGTTTTCCACATTATCTAGCATTTGGTACAATGGAAAATCAAAGGCAACTGAAAACGTTTTATGTGGTCGATAGAGAACGAGTTTACTTAGGCAGAAAACATTTTCTACTTTTGAAAGGTGGAAAACATTTTCCAAAATAAGGTCTTACCAACGCTGCCACACTAGCATCACCAACACCCTAACACAGCCACCAACACCCTACCACAACCACCAACACCATCACTAATACAATGAACAACTACTACATTAGTTTCAAGGTCTCAAACAAAGATAGGAAAGCATCTTCTACAAAAAAAATTATTGGAAAATGTTTTCCATAGGAAAATAATCTTTGCTGAAACAGAGTGTTAATTCATTCAGACGTTTCCTCTTTTGGTTAGTCAAACAACTAGATGAATGGATGACTAACTTTTTCTTTCTATCAGCTAGCACTTCCTAGGTTTACAGGGCAGAATTTAGATCACAATAAGATCTTTTATCTTCAAATAGAAGAGTTGTCTAAGAAACACAGTTGCACCCTTGTTCAACTCGCACTTGCATGGGTTCTTCATCAAGGGGATGATACGATTCCTATTCCCGGTGAGTGACTAATCAAAATTTTGATTTCTTGGTAATGAATAATACATGAAAAGTTATGGAAAACGTGCTGGAAGGTGAAATGAATCCTTGAACAAACCTCGAAAACTTTTAATTCCCTGGTAAGTAGTTCGATAAGTAGGAGGTTGTGGTCTTTCTTACAATCCAACCTAAACCTTGCCAAAGTATATTTTTTGGCTTTTGAATTAAATTAAATGTAACTTCTATTGAATGATTAGTTTTTATTAGTTTTCTTGAAAATTCTTTAGTTTTTTAATCATATTTGGATGTTTACTAAATGCTCTAATAATATTTTGTTATTGTTTCAAGTGGATGTTTATGCAATCAAATCAGCTGTTAATCAATTTAAGAGAGAGATCCTTGTTGATTTTTTATGTTTATTTCCACCAAACTAGTGTTCAATATTTTTTTAAAAGCAAGTTTTGAAAACAAACCAAAACTTCCAAATGTGCTCCTTAATGTTGTATTTTGAATGGTCAAGTTGTATTTAACCTCGCATTATACATTTGCAGGAAGAACTTAGATTAAAAACCTTGATGAGAATATTGGTGCCTTGAGAGTGAAGCTCACAAAAGATGATTTAAAAGAGATATCTGATTCCGTGCCCATTCTCAAGATTGCGGGGCCTAGAATATATAAAAGTTTTACTCATGTCTCATATATTTTTGCAGATACACCACTGCCAAAGAATTCCAAGTGATTGGCTTTATATTTTTTTTGTGATGGAATTAATGTTAATAATGTTTTTGTCAATTTTGTATTTCCTCTTGTAACTCGTTGGGGCTTTGGTGTGTCGTCTTAACAACATTGTGGCCACTGCAGCTGAAACCCGCGCATGTTTGGATGCGTTCCGATGGTGTCAAGTTCGGGATATTCAAGTTCTTTCACAGATTGCTTATGGTTGGTCGAACAGTTTCGTGGTACATCATCATGCGATTGGGCCTCACAATTGCTAATTTTGGAGATTTGATCTTTACTTAATGGTTTTGATTATGTAAATATATGTAAGGTAAGTCAGCAGGTAGTCGAGTTGGCTCATGTTTTTGCTAAAACTGTCCTTCGTGGCAGTTAACAAGTAATATTTGGCTATGTCTATTATGAAAGTTGGTTTGGCTTAAGATTGTGATGTTTGTGTATCTTTTGGCTAAGCATTTTCATAGTATAAGATGAATGAGATATGAATACCAAGTTTAATGCCCAAAATGTAGCCCCATAATTGAGAAAAATAGGGGAAATTCTCTTTTAAATCTTTTTTTGTCGCATGATATGATACTAGTAGGTTAATATAGTTAGATTACTATAGTAGGTTTTACGCCATTGTATTGACTTGAATTGTAGATCTCACTTCACTGGCAATTAAATACTCTAATCATCGGTTATAGTTCGATTTCATCAAAACTTTGGCGGTAGTGGAAGAGAGGACTTTCGTTTGTGTCAGTGGTGACGACCGTGGCGGTGTTATTGGTATTGGTGGTGGTGGATTTTGGGCCAATATTTCCTTAGTCTACAAAAATGTCAAGTTTTAACCGTTCAACTAGTGACTCTCCTTGTAGCATTTCTTATTAACCACCCAACTCTCTGCAACACGTTCTCTGCAACACGCTCTATTTGGGTTTGTGCTCCTTGGCCTCATGGAGGAGCTTAACTCAACCGTCAAGTGATCTCCTTATAGCCTTTCTTATTAACCGTGTTATAAGGGGTGTTTGGGAAGTTGGGTTGAAAGAATTTTTTTGGTTAAAATAGTTTTTAAAAAAATTAAAATAATTAATAAGATAAAATGTTACATTTAAATTATAATTATTTAATTTTTTTTCTCTTACAATCATCAAATCAATTATAAAAAAAAAAGCCAACTATCGTCTCAAATATAACTTTTTTTAATCAGATTAAAATAACCAAGTAATTAAAAAACCAACTAAAATAGCAAATATATATTTTGACAATAGAATGGATGTTCATAACAATATATATCATCACAATTAAAAAGTAATAGTCAATAGTAGCAGTAATATAACCACACATCAATCTTTTATACATAAATAATAAAAAGAGAAGTCATCGAAAATCCAAATACACCAAACATGACAAGCACGCCAACATGACAACAAATAGAAGGAAACAAAATTAATTAAATAAAAAGAACTCCAAGTCTCCAACAGCACAACAGGCACACAAGCATCACCAACCACTTCCTTTGTTTCCTCCAACTTTCATTCCTGTTAAATAAATAAAATGAAAAAAATAAAATAAAACTAAGTTGTAAGAAATGTGTTAAAAATAAAAAATGAAAAACAAATTTCTTAAAGATGTATGTAAAAAATGATATTAATTATCACACGAGTGAGTCAATTACTATATACCGATTATCTTACTTGTGGTAGGACATGTGTTAGCGTGGAACTATGATGTGGAGATGCTATCTAAAATATAGCACTACCGCTTAATTTTTTACACATCATCAATATTAATTTGAATCATAACTAATGCATATTATAACAGGATTATCCCATTTTCTAAGCACAATTTTTGAGATAACTGAATAATATCTCCTCGGAAATCTTATCATTTGTCGAACTCACTAAACTAGCAAGGAACTAAATGCTTGGATTCAGCATTTGGCAGATAAGAAAACAAGTCCATATATGAATTAGTTTGGTAAAAAAATAAAAAAAACTCCTAAAACTCTTGTTTTGTTTCTCACCAATTTTGGTGAAAAACGATAGTTGTATTAAAAAAAAAATCAAAATACTTAAACTGTCTATCTAGATACAAAACATTGATAATAAAAAGACATGCGTTTTCTCTTTCTAAACCCACTTTCTAGATCAATAATGTGTCAACAAGATAATTGGTTGATAATTAAAGAATAAATGAGAGAGTTAGAAAGTGAATCTAATTTTTGGCCCTCAATAGTAATATTTAAATACCATTTAATGGGACTTAAGACTTGGTTTGGTTTGATTTCATTTGGTTTGGTTTAATAGTAATATTTAAATAAAAAAAACACATGTATTCTCTTTTATTTTGGTTTATCCAAACACAATGATAAGAAATCATAATTATTTAATTATTTTTTTTCTTTTTTCACCTAAGTACTAGAAGAGAAATCATAATCACCTTGTTTGGTTCCAATTTTTTGAATTTTTTTTTTTGAATTTTTTTATTTTTCGTATTTTTAATGAATTTGTTTAATATTTTAAGTAATTTTTTTACTTTTTAGATACACTTAATATAAATACAAATAAAAAGTATAATATTTTTGAAAAAAACTTTAAAAAATTCACTAAATACAAAAAATACAAAAAAAAAAGAAAAAGAAAAAAGAAAAAGAAAATACAATACATGTTTTTAATATTTTAAGCAAAATTTTTTTTTAAAAACTTTTTAGATGTACCTAAAAAATAAATATTTGAAAAAATAATAAGAATACAAAAAAAGTTTTTAAAAAAAAATGCTTATAGTATTAAAAAAAATTCCCTTAAAAAAAGAAGTCAATTTTTTAAAAGTTAAATTAAGAAAATTAGAACCAAACAATGTGAATCTTATTATTTCTCTACTCACCTAGCTAATTTACCAAACATACGTTGTTAAGAAAACACACACATATACATACTATATATTTAATTATACATGGTACAAATAAACTTTACCATAGCCTGCCTATCCAGTTGAAAAGCTTTATTAACTAAGTTAAACCAGAACGTATAGAAAGTGATCTATAAGAAAGGAAACCTTTTATTTACAATTTATTTTCTGGCAACAACTATTACTCACCTGTAACTTGTGTTCTTCGTTAGTAGGGCCAGTCATTATCGTCTGTGATATCCCAATTTTTGGGGACAGGGATGGACCTTAATCTCTCTGGGATGCTAACATTGTTAGGGATGACCAAACCCCGAAGCAGAGGCATTCCTCCTTCATCCACTTGTAACTCCTTCACATCACCCCCGTAAATAAATAGAATTTCGAGTTGAGGGAACCCTCCTGCAGTGCAAGCAAATTTATATACGCCGTATTTCCACAAGTCAAGAATTGTCAGCTTTCGAAGTTTCTCTAATGACGGCATAGGATCTTCCTCCATTTCCGATCCCTCCAAGTCGAGGTATTTGAGATTCGGTAAGAATTTGTGCATCTCTGTTGGTAGATTTCCTATTTTTCCATATAACTTCAATTGAAGGAGGTGCTGGCAGTGAGAAAGTGGTTGCAGTGTAGGATTCCAAACAGTGTCCGTACTCGCATCTAGATATAATGTTTGGAGGCTTCTTAATCTACCAATAGAGTCTAGAGTGAACCCCTTGCTTTCTCCATTCAATACTACGTAAAGCTTGCAAAGATTCATAAAATCCCTTGATGGATTAAATTCCATCCGGTCATAAACCTCAATGAACTTTAGAGTTTGAAGGTTTGTTAGGTTTTCTACTCGAAAAGGCCACTTGAAGCGTCCAATTAAATGTCTCAACTGCTTTGCATTGTATATCTCATCTGGTAACATAATTGGGCTATCCAATTCCGAAAATTCCAGGGTTTGTAGGGTTTGTGATGCAGACTGAATTTTAGAAAATAAGTATTTTTATTTTATTATTTTAAAATTAATATTTGACCATGAATATTCTAAATTGGTATAGAATATTATGGAATTATTTAGTTATTTAGTTTCCTAATTTAATATGATGTAGTTTTCCTATTTTCTTAGTTTTGATTTTATTTCCTATTTTATTTGTTTCTTGTTCTACAAGAATTAGGTTCATTATAAATAAAGATGTAAGCCTTAGGGCAAGGGGGAGAGTTTTTTTGATTAATATATTTTGAGTTTTATTACTCTTTGTTCCAACTTTGGTTAATTCTGTGTGAATCAACTTTGGTTGACCCTTTAAACTCGGTATTCTTGGGGAATCAACGGGTCTAAAGTCGAGTCTTATTTCCGGTATTCTTGTGTGAATCAACGGATCTTAAGATTGTTACTATTGTTTCGATCAGCACTGCATCAGTTGGTATCAGAGCCAGGTTACGTTCTTGCAAACATGCCACTAAGGAGACGTATTGTAGATGAAGTTTTTGAGGCTAAGAAAGTGAGAATGCAACGACAAATTGATGCTCTAGCCAAACAGATTACAATCTTGTCCATTGCCATGAAGAAACAACAACAACAACAACAGCCGAAACTTCGTAATCCATATTTTGACAAAGATGAAAAGGTAATTATGAATCTGGATTCCTTTTCTTCCAACTCACAAGTTAATTGGGATTTTCCTCCCTCATATGACGAGTATCGTGAAGAAGTCATGGAAGAAATTATAGTTAAAGGAGACGTAGGAGATTTTCTCGACGATATAGAAGACGAAATTGAAATTGATCTAGAAGGTACTATAATTCACAAAATATTTAGTGAGGAAGAGTTTGATGATATATTATTAGATATAAATACTTTATTTTTGGAATCACAAGTTGATTGGAATTTACTTCCTAAATTTGATGAATATTTAGTGGAGAACGAGATTGAAATTCATGAAGTCAAAGAAAAATTTAGACATCGTGAATATGTTCTAACTGATGGCTGTGTGTATGAGATTTTGCAATTTAGTGATGCAATCGAATTAAGGAAAAATGATCAAGTGGAAGAACTGAAAAATGACAGTAATGGGGTCATATTGTTCGTGTCCAGCAAAGAAGACAAAAATTCATTACCATATGGATTTGATCAAAAAAGAAAACCTGTTGAAGTCGAGATGGGAATGGACTTATTCCAACAAAACTACCATCCGTGGAGTTTTCATTACAGTGTATTTGAAGATCAATTGCTCGAAGATGCGAAGCGAAATTTCTGTAGTCAGAATTTGTACTACAAAGAAGATGGGTTAAATTTAATGAAGAAAATTATTTATTTAATTTCAAAAGATTCCCGTTTACAATTCATGTTTGAGAAAATTAACCTCAAATACAAGGTTGATGCGGATCAGTGCGGACGTACCAAGTTATTTCAAGTAATGGAAACTCGAGGACGAGTTTTCTCAAGCGGGGAAGAATGATGCAGACTAAATTTTAGAAAATAAGTATTTTTATTTTATTATTTTAAAATTAATATTTGACCATGAATATTCTAAATTGGTATAGAATATTATGGAATTATTTAGTTATTTAGTTTCCTAATTTAATATGATGTAGTTTTCCTATTTTCTTAGTTTTGATTTCATTTCCTATTTTATTTGTTTCTTGTTCTACAAGAATTAGGTTCATTATAAATAAAGATGTAAGCCTTAGGGCAAGGGGGAGAGTTTTTTTGATTAATATATTTTGAGTTTTATTACTCTTTGTTCCAACTTTGGTTAATTCTGTATGAATCAACTTTGGTTGAGCCTTTAAACTCGGTATTCTTAGGGAATCAACGGGTCTAAAGAGGAGTCTTATTTTCGGTATTCTTGTGTGAATCAATGGATCTAAAGATTGTTACTATTGTTTCGATCAGCACTGCATCAGTTTGCAAGTTACCAATGGATGGTGGAATCTTGTTTATTTTGGGGCCACTTATCCTAAAGTACCTCAAGTGAATCAACTTCTCTATTGCATCATGTAAGCTTACATGCTCTATTTCTTCTTGGGAATGATTGAATATAATTTCCTCAAGATCTAACACTCTCAACAATCTCAATTTTTTGTACAGAAATTGTAACTCCCCTATTTCGGCGGATTCATTTTCCGAGTTGAACAACAAAAGGGTTCGTAAATGCAAATCTGATGACTGATCAAAGGAAGCAAACCTTTTTAATCCACAGCTATGAGAAGCTAGTCTTCGATGTTTGCAGGGAGAGGGTGCGGAATAAACATTTCCATCATAGATATGAAGGAAATTTAACTCCTTCGACTTTTCAATTGCAAAATCCCGAAGAAGATCATGAACTCAGCATCTTCTAATTCTCATCCAGATTCTTTCAGCTACTCGAATCAAATTTCTATCAATCAGCTCATTTAGATATTCTGCAGCTGTCTCCTCTAAAGTTTCTCCTTCTGCTTGTTGTATGAAACCTTCTGCCACCCATAACCGTATAAGTCTCTCTGCTTCAATTTCAAAATCTTCAGGGAACAACCCCAAGTAAAGAAAGCACAACTTCAAGTGATGAGGCAAATCGGTGAAACTTAAAGCCAATATTTGTGTAACATGAGCCGAGTCATGGCTTTCAAAGTCGTCACCTGTTACATGCCGCCAGAAGCGGCCCTGCAACTTGGGCCACTCATCGGGATGTTTTCTTGACAATAGCCCACCCAAGACGACTATGGCCAAGGGTAAGCCCTGGCATTTTCTGGCCATATCTCTTGCCAATTCCTCCAACCTTGGAGGACAACGATTTGTTTTATCATCGACCCCATCATAGTCCGGAAACACTACTATCTTACAAAATAATTCCCAACTTTCTTCTGGTTGTAGAAATGGAAGCTCATGAACATATTTTCTCCTACCAGAACTCTCGGCAACAAGTTTGATACGAGTGGTGATAATTACTCTACTTCCTTTCTTGTTGTCTGGGAGGGCTCTCCTCAAGCTTGCCCAAGCATCTGTATCCCATACATCGTCAATCACCACCAGGTATCGACTTTCTTTCAACAACTCATGTAAATGGCACTCCAAATCTTCTGTTTCCATCTTTTCCAACATCTCCAATTCATCTTTGCTGGTTGGCATCTTGAAAGATTTTATTGTTTTTCGAAGAAGATTCTGGATGTTGTAATCCTTGGATACAGAAACCCAACCTTTACGTTTAAATTTATCTCCAACACTGCTAGAGTTGTAAAGTTTTCGAGCTAAGGTCGTCTTACCCAAACCGCCCATGCCCACAATCGAAATCACACGTTGATGGGGAGTTTCTTCGAGAAGTTCAGACATCAGTAACTCAACATCCTTCGTGAAGCCCACAACATGTTGGTCGTCTTCATAAGGTGTTGTCCTTCGTAGTTGCTTGAATCTCTCATTCATGCCACTTGATCCCTCCCCAGCAGCTTCGATATTTCTAATCTTGAAAATTTCATGATTTCGATCGATTTCATCGAGTCTATTCTTCCATTCTTGAATCTCCTTACCTATCCCATACTTGTTTGCTTGTTTGTAGATGCAAAAGTACTTTCTGAGGCAAGCTTTGAACCCTGTCCTTTTGGGAATCCCTCCTTCTTCAACTTTGAGAATAAACTTGTCAATAATATCCTCGGCTTCGTAAGCAGCATCTCTAATATCGGATACCCATTTGCGTATCCTACTGTCTTGATCTTGTTTTTCTTCTGCATCTTTCAAGAAACACAACATGTATTCCAATTTGGTTCTCAGATAGTTGACTTCATCTCTCACTCCTTGCAAAAAAATTACTTGATCAATGAGAAGACCACCAAGTCTCCGCACTACGGAAGAGACAACAGCATCAACCATCCTTGGCAGTTATGTTCTTTTGTACACTCTGTATACGTATTGAATTTGGGAGGTTTGATCTCAAGAAGGTGGAAAATGTAAGGGCTTAATCACTTCGAACAACAAAGAACTTCTTTGATTGAAAATGACTTGTTGCATCTGAAAAAGAAGAGGGATTTAATTTAAGTTTTAAGCCAATACCTTATGGATGGTTTCTTGGAAACAATGGCAAGGGACTTTCAAGGGACTTGTTGAAGGGCATCTTTGCCATTGCCGATGAGATCGAATCCCAACGTCGGTATCCTTGACCGCACAAAGTCTCCTCAAATGACAGGATGTGTTGTGTGGTCCACCCATGTCGAGAAAGAGAAGTTATTGCTCATTGTGATTAGGAAATATGGAGTGATGGTGATTTGTAATTGGTGAAAAGTACCCATGAAGCTCTTGAAAGAGAGAAGTTTGGGTAGCAAAAGCTAATGGGATAATTATTTTAAGAAAATGATATATAAATCTAATATTTAAATTTAATAATGTATAAATAAGATAATTGATTGATAATTAAAAAAGATATAAATGTGAGACAAATAAAACATAAAAACAATTAATTGATTAATCATTAAATTTAAAAAATTAATTTAATTTTTGAATTCCAATAATACTAGTGTTATTTTATTATACGCAAAGGACGCATGCGCATATGAAACCAAGAAAAGAAAAATAATATGCAAGGGACGCATGCGCGTATGAAACCAAGAAAAGAAAAATGGCTCACTTTGATGATAAGGTTTTGAGTAATTTTTTGTCACTTCAAGTGGGTCATGAAAAAGAAAAAGAACAAATGTGATATAAATTAATAAAATTTATATATTTTTAAAATAAATGTATATACATATATAATACTTTCAAGTTGAAGGGCATCTTTGCCATTGCCGATAATTAAGATCCAATCCCAGTATTGGTATCCCTGACTGCATAAGTTTCCTCGAATTGACAGGGTATATGTGTTGGGTGGTCCATCATGTGAAAAAAGAGAAGATATTGGTTGTTGGGGTCATAATTTATATTAGATGATTAAAATATATTATTGAGTATTGTAATTTGTGGTTGATAAGGAACCCTCCATGATTAATTAATAATTTTTCATGGAGAAAACTTAAAGAGAGGAGTTTACGGTAACAAAAGTTAATGGACAATTATTTTAAGAAAATGACATATTAACTTAATTTTAAGATTTATTCTTTAACTATAATCATATGCAAGTAAAAAAATAATTGATTGATAATTAAAAAAATATGATCAAAATACAAATAAAACATAAAAATAATTAATTAATTAATCATTAAACTTTTCAAATAATTCAGCTTATTTTATTGTATGCAAATGACGCATGTGCGTATGAAACCAAGAAAAAGAAAAATGGATCACTTTGATGATAAGGTTTTTTTTTTTTTTAGCTATCCCGGTTTTGACCCGTCTTTGTGTGGTGTTCCGGGCTCGGGTTGGTATGATTTTTAGCAGTGTTACGTATCTTAGTTTCCCAGTATTCCTCTTATTTTGGTTATCAGGTTGTAGCGGTGTGTTTGGAACATGTACTGTCTCCAAACCTTTATATGCAAATCCAACCTAATTTGTGCCATGCAGAGTTGTATCATAAGCAAATTCTTTCATGTTTTGTCACTTCGCTGAGTAGGTCGGGGGATCAGAGAATGTTTGGTTCCAGAAGTTTGACCTGTTTGCAAAAGTACTGCGAAAGTGTATTCGACGCTCGAGTGGAGCTTTCCGTGCTCGAGTGGGAGGCTGTGTCTGACGCTCGAGTGGACCATGTTATATCAGTTCGTGAATCTGATACTTCAGATCACTTTTACAATTCTCTCTCTCTCTAAAACTCTCCAGAATTTCAAATCTAGAGCTTCTCTCTCTAAAAGTCATCTTCTCTCTTTGATTTCTCCAAATCCATTGGGATTTAGACCTAAGTTCTTCATCAAAGTTGGTTATCATCTCGAGGGCTTCGTTGTGTGTGGTGGAGATCGAGTTTAGGTATCGTTGATTTTGGGGTTTCATCTCAATTCTTCTTCAATACTTGAGGTAGAGATTTTTTCTTAGAGTTATATATGTATTTGCAAGATCTAGATGATTTTCGAAATCATCCTTCGATAGCTTTGAAAATTGATTGTTGATTCAAGAAGTTGAGGGATTTTGAAAGTGGGTTTGTCTCTTGTTCTTTTAAAATGATCTTATGGGTTTTGATCTTCGTTGATTGAAGAAAAGATGATTTTGGAAAGTTTTCTTTCAAAAGATTTGAGTTGTATAGTTTTGGTGAGAAAACCTAGAAATTGGGGATTTTTAAAAGAAATTGAAAATCCATAAATGATATTATTATATTTATTTTTTGTGTCAAAATAAATGGATGTTTGGAAAATTTCTTATTTATATTTATATAAATGATGAATTTCATAGAATATGAGAATTGTTGTTCATTTTGGAAATTATTGTTCAAAACGTTGAAATAGTCTTCAAATGACTAATTGTTGAGGATACTTGATAAGAGGGAATTGTGTTATTCCTTGAATGATGAATCGGAATAAAAGTATTTATATTCATCTTGTAAAATTGGCATATCAATTCATTTGATTACATTAAATTTTGAAAGTTAATTTAAAAACTTGCATTGAGAAAAGAATGTTGAGAAACAAGTTTTTATGGAATGGTTTTGGGGTAAATATGTTGGTAAGTCTTGTTAGGTGGTGTAGATGATATTGAATAAGTTGGCCTGAGAGTCCGGGATGAAAGACTAAAAACCCGCGCGAATAGGTATCGAGCCTTCCGATTAATACTGGTAAAAATGGCAATTTGGTAGTACTTGTATAGTCTACTTGCAGACACCGACCAACAGATTATTAGAGTCGTATTTACTGCCCTTGAAATAAATTGTTAAGTTTTGAACAATTGAAATTGCATGACATCATTGAGCATGATAGTTTTCAAAAGATGAAAATGTGATTTACTTTCAAAAAGGGGCATAGCATGACATGTGAATTTCATCTCTTGAGACTTGTATAAAATATATATACTTTGTTAAGGATTTCTTACAAAAAGACATAGTATGGCATATGCATTCATCTCTTGAGACTTGAACAAAATGTATATACTTTGTTAAGGATTTTTTACTGGGCTTTATGCTCACCCTACGGGATTTTTGTGTAGGAAAAGATGTGGTGATTCCGCCTAACTAAAGGCGAGGAAATATGTGTTGAGAGTACAAGGCTCTCATTTTGCTGTAACTCTATTTGTAAGCCAATGGCTGTATTTGTGTGGGTTTGAATAACCATTTTGTGTAACCAAGCCTAAGCCTTGGAAACTTGTAAACCCTTGGGGGTATCTATTTGTTTATGTTATTTTGATTTGAAGTGAATTTATTATCACCTGAAGACTATTTGTATCATATAATGCAAGCGTGGGGATTTATTTTCAGTTTCACTTTAAATAACCATGGTTATCGTATTATCTTTTGGATATAAAAATTAGGCGTTACATTTTTTGTCACTTCAAGTGGGCCATGAAAAAGGAAAAGAACAAATGTGACATAAATCAATAAAATTTATATATATTTTTAAATATATATATGTAGGGGAGTTCGAGGTTAGAAAGGTGATTACAGAGGCAAAACTATGCTAATGGTCCAAGAGTGGTGGAATGACTGGAGGATGAGCAGTTGCAACTGTCTGGGAAGTTGGAGAGTGAGCAGCTAGGTGAGGGTGAAGCAGTAGCTCAAGAAGAAATGTATAGCAGTGCGCAAATGGGTAGCATCTCCCCAAATCCCCAAAATTCCTCTTGTTGAATCTTGGGAAATGGGTCATATTTATAGGCTTTTCCTTGGTACCAAGAGGAGACCAAGTGGCCAAATAGAGAGAAGACATATGTCTTAGAGGATCACATAGAATATTCTGCCTTAAGCCACCAGGTTGAAGGTGCCACGTGTCCCTCTGCATGTACTGTATACTAATTGTTTGCCTTCGTAACTACCTTTTTGAGCCTCAACAAATGTAGTTGCGACAGAAGTGTTTGGCGTTGCAATTTCCTTTTGAGCCTCAGCAAGTGCAGTTGCAGCAGGAGTGTTTGTTGCTGCACTTGCCTTTTCAGCTCTAACCTCAGCAAGTGTACTTGCAGCGGTAAACTTTGCTGCTGCACTTGCCTTCTCAGTTCTACTTGGCCAGTACATGCATTCTCAGGACTCCATCAGTCTGCTATCGACTATGTTCGTGCTCACCTCAGCGAAGCCTCTACCCTTAGCCACCTAACCACAAATTCCCTAGCTTCCCAGGGCGATGGCCACAGCCAAGCCTGCCATCAGTCATGCTGTGCCTTTGTACCAAGCCCAAGGGGACTTCCTTAGTCCTGCCTGTGCGACTAAGGTAGGTCCATGACCTGGGTAATGGAAAGGGAGTCCCTTACACTCCGCCTACCCTGCTCCCATCTTCGCGAGATCACCGCGGTAAACTGGTACCTCTAAGCCTGCTATCAGCTCCTACTGGTAAGTCTTGGGGCCTGCTATCACGGCCAAGTTAATGAACTTTGGGGCCTGTTATCAGCCCTGGACTAGTAATGTCTTGGGGCCTGCTATCAGCGCCAAGCATTAGCCTTTAATTGCAGAGGGGAAGCTTTTCCCACAGGCTGCTATCACCTTGGCAAGATGTTCCTTTCGCAAGCTGGTTGCGGCGGCTATAGTTGCTACGACAGTCATTTCCCGTGACAAGTTCAAATGGCAAAACCAACAATATTGGAGATGGCGGCGCCGACAAAGTGCCTCCGTAACTTGGGCGCTGCAGGTACTGCCTCTGCAACTTAGTTGCGTCAGCTTTTTCTTTCCCTCAGCAACTTCAGATGGCGTCAGAACCGAAGATATTAGGAATGGCAGCGCTGAAGCAAAATGCCTCAACAACTTTCCCACTGCATATGTTCCCTCTACAACTTCACTTAGGCAATTTCCTTCGTGGTGCCCATTTGGACCCTTGGCGGGTCAGACTTGTTTCGGCCTACTATTGGCCCACTTTCCCTAGCCTTTAGCCCATGCTCCTTCAATCATTCCTAGTTGCCTTAAAGGGCGACCATAGTACTTAGGCTCATACTTAATTTGGGGCTTAATTTCTAACCCTTTACAATATATTTATAATATTTAAAGTTTTAATTTTATTAATTTTATATTTAAAAAATTTGAGTTACTTTGATCCAATTTTAAATGGACTGTCTAAAGTTAATAAAATGATAATAAAATATACTTTGGTCTTTAAAGTTAGTGGAAATATCATTTTGCCCTCTAAAACGTTGACCCTCATACTTCGATTTATTTCATTATAGTACCTGAACTTTCCACAAATTGATCAATTAGACCCCTGTCGTCACCTTCCATCCACAATTGAACGGAATGTGTTGATGTAGGGGGCAAATTGATTTTTAAAG